CCTGGCACTCAAGGACCACCAGTTCTTGTTGAATCCAGGAACTGAGAAGTAATAACTGGCTGCAAGGCTACTACTATTTCTGTCCTGTATTTGGCATATTTCTCTGTCCTCATAGGCAAGAAGCACAAGAATTAAGAATTGGGGAGGCAGGTGTCTGGGCTGTCAGTAAGTGCTGAATCAGCAAGTCAGACTTCCAAGCCAGAGGCCCTGCCGCATGCTGCCAGGTGTTAAAGAATGTAAACCAGAAAAAAAGGACATGGAATGTAAGAAATAATGGCGGGCACAGGAATCTGTTTAATACATTGGTCAACTTAACAATTGTGTCTGAAAAATCAGCTTAAGGGGCTGGAGAGATGCTCAGGGGTAAGAGCACCGCCCATTCTTCCAGAGGACCTGGACTCAGTTCCCAGCATCCACAAAGTAGCTCACAGCCATCTGTAACTTCAGTTCTAGGGGATCTGATGCCCCCTTCTCACCTAGGCACATATGTAGTGCACAGATATACACACAGGCAAAACACTCATACACATAAAATCGCTAAATCCTAAAGTGGAAGAATAATAAAACCCTGTCTTTTGGGGGGAAATTTATTTGTGAAAATGTGTACATTTCATTAAAAATTACAGTTACATATGTACATTAAAGTTTAAGAATAACTTCCATAAGAACAGAGACACCTTCAAAGGTGACTCACACCTTTAATACCAGCACTCAGGAGGCAGAGGCAGGCGGATCTCTGTGAGTTCAAGGCCAGCCTGGTCTACAGTGTGAGTTCCAGGACAGCCAGGGATATATAGAGGGACTTGGCTTCCACAATAAACAAACACACAAACACTACCCCCTAAACAAAATAAACCCCCAAACCAACCAAATAAACAAAAAAACCCAAAACCATGTAGTGCTCATGAGCTCAGAGCACACAGGCACAACAGTCTCCCACAGACCCCACTGAAGAGTCTTAGTGACTGGAGGCAGAGGAGGCTTTTGATGAATAAGGTCTCTTCGCTGAATCCTGTCCTCCTGTAGAGCCGTGAAGGCCCTGGGCACACACAGTGGGTCTGCTGGGTACCCTGCCCTGCGTGCTGGGATGACACTGAGGAAGATGACACAGTCCTTGGAGGGGCCCAGAGAATGCTGGGGTAACAGACAGGCAATCAGAAAAATACATGAATACACGAGTTCAAGGACACAGCCATAGGACACTCAGTGGGGCACAGGGGGAACCCAGAATAGCTGCTGCAGTTAGGAGAGGCTTCCTAGGGGTGAACAAGAATCGCTCAGGGGAAAGGAGACACCGGTGAGGGATTAGGAGATGCCAGCTGATAAAACACTTGCTGTATGTGCCCTGTCAGAGGCCTTGAGTGTAAGTCTCAGGTCCCAGCGAGAGACTCAAAAAATAAGGAGAGATGGCTCAGTAGGTGAAGGTGTGTGCCACTAAGCCAGATGATAGAAGGAAAGAAACGACTCCAAGTTGCCCTCTGACCTCCACAACCACTCTGTGGCCTGAGTAAATAAAAATATAATAAAAGTAATAAGTGTGGGTGACTCTTGAGGAACAATACCAGATCTCAGGCTGCCACACAGACATGCACATACATTGCAAACACACACACACACACACACACACACACACACACACACAGAGAGAGAGAGAGAGGGGGGGCAGGAAGATGCATGTAATCCAGAGGTGAGTCTCTCTGTAGGAGTCACAAACTCTTGCTGGTGGATAAGCCAAAGTCACAGCTGCAGCAGACTGGAGATCATGAAATGAAGTTGGTTCTCCTATACCCCAGGGTCTAATTCCCTGGACAGTGAGGACAGAAATCTCCATTCCCTCACATGCTTGGGTACAGGGTTCTAGGTGGGAGACTCTTGTGGGGGAGGGACTGACAGTAGCTGCTGGACAAATACTGCTGGTAAAAAGCTTCAGGGCTCTGGAAGGCTTGCTGAATTCTTTTCCAAGGGAGGAGGGGGCAGGTGGCCACTAGCAAGGAGGAGGGGGCACACCTAAGGCCTTAGTTGGGCACTCTGAATGAGACTGAACTGGAAGGATCTTGAACCTCCTCCTTGGCCAGCTTGAAGCCTGCTCCCCGGAGGGAGATTTCTTTTGTGCATTTCCCATTAATGAAGATATGAAATGTGAAGGTTCATTAATCATTAAAATTTTACAGATCAATAATATATATATATATATAAAAAAACCCCTCACATCCCACAACTATTCAGCCTTACTGCCAATTCCACAAAGACAATGGCAGGGTTAAGAAAATCTGTGGGATACAGCTTATTATAGACCTCCAGTCCCACCACATGTTTGGCAGCACTGGCTGGCCCAGGGCCTGAGGAAACACCAACGCCCTCACGGGCCCTCAGGATGCTAACTAAGGGCAACCACCCCGTATCTATTCTATTAGTGTAGGTCTTAGCCACTTCCATCCTCTGCCTGACCTCGGCCCAGCCCCACTGGGCTGAGCTCATCGTAAAACACCATGTCCTTTAGACAACCTCAGGCTGAAAGACATCTGCTGTCTCTGCAGTGCTTATGGTCCAGTCCCAAGTCTGTGGTCTATACTCTATCTGACCACTGTTTCCCTAAACACAGGGCGTGGCTCTGGCTGCTCCCATCGCTGCCCAACCTTCTAGCTACTGAGCTCTACAGGTCTCCCAGTGGGCCTTCCAGTTTGGGCCACCTGGCACTTCCTGAGCCGTTGACAGCCCACAGCACCTCAGTCTCTTTCCTCTCCTTCACTCTGACCTTTAGACACACCCGCATTCACTTTTACTCATCCAATGCAATGACATAGCGAAAGTACTGGGGACAGTAACACGTTACACAAGGCAATGGCCACTTTTTATGCAGATATTACCTAGAATTACAATTGTGATGTAAAACAAACAGGAATACAGGAGGAGATGCACACGTGAGAATCTTCATAGTGTTTCTATAGTAACGCAAACCCAAACAAAATTAATTACTGGGAATTAGTTATTAAATCACAGCATACCCATTAAAATGCTATGAACAAATATCACTGCAGACAATGTAAAGAAAAAGCATATAGAATTATATGTAAACTCTAGCCCTGAATAGTACTTAACTTGTGTGTGTGTTTAAACTTTATTTGTATGGGTATTTTGTCTGCATGTGTGGCTGTTCACCTTGTGCATGCCTGGAACTTGCAAATGAAAAGGGTGTTGGATCCCTTGGAATTGGCAGTACAGACAGTTGTAAGTCCAAACCAAGGATCTCTTTAAGAGCAGCCAGAGCTCTTAACTGCCGAACCATTTCTCCAGTCCTTTCTATAGTATATCAACACTTATAAAAACACCGACATGGAGACTCCATCTTTTTTTTTTTTTTTTTGGTTTTTCAAGACGGGGTTTCTCTGTGGCTTTGGAGGCTATCCTGGAACTAGCTCTTGTAGACCAGGCTGGTCTCGAACTCACAGAGATCCGCTTGCCTCTGCCTCCCGAGTGCTGGGATTAAAGGCGTGCGCCACCAACGCCCGGCTGGAGACTCTATCTTAAAACAAAAAAACAAACAAAAAATCAAGACACTGGCAGATATAACAAAGATTCTCTTCTTGTCAGACTTATGAATGTCTTAGTATTTTTTGAATGTTTTTATAATTTTCTCCAGTGAGTCAGTCTTCTTCCTTCCTTCCTACCTTCCTTCCTTCGTGTTTTTTGAGACAGGTTTCTCTGCATAACAGCCCTGCTGTTCTGAAACTCACAGAGATCCGCCTGCCTCTGCTTCCCGAGTGCTGGGATCAAAGGGATTCGCCACCAATGCCCAGTGAGTTAGTCTGATTTTACAGACGATTTCAAGTGGTTAAATACAGGCACACAGACACAGACACAGACACACACACACACACACACACACACACACAGAGAGAGGGAGAGGGAGAGGGAGAGGGAGAGGGAGAGGGAGGGGGAATGTACCAAAAGAAGCTTAAGTCCTTGCCCCTTCCTGCATTCTTCTGAGCGGATGGCCTTTATCCATTCAACTCATAACCCTCACTGATGTTCTCTATATTATTTTAATAATGAAAACATGCTATAACCAAAAAGCATCTCTTGGTTGGGGACAAGAATTGCAAAAGCATGTATTCATGTTTGGGAGTGGGACTTGGCAAATTTAGGATGACCCCAAGCATGCAGACACAAAGGTACACACCAAACCCATGGCTGCTCAAAGGGCCAGAGGATGGAAATGAGACTGCCCCTCTCTGGGTTTTGGTTTTCATTTCACTCTCTTTTATATTCTCCCTGGGGACTTTGAGTTTTATTAGTTGTGACTCAGGAAGTAAGGAGATAGCCATCACACACATACACACACACACACACACACACACACACACACACACCTGCTCTTCTGCCTTGTTACAGACTATCCACCTGCTCGTCTATGGATGAACTCTTTCCAAATTGTCACTTAGAAGTAGTAACACAAAAAGCCCATTTTTTTTTTTTTGACACAGGTTTCTCTGTGTAGCTCCAAAAAGCCCATTTTTGTTCACATCCTTTGTACAGCTGGGAAATCATTCTGAGTGCTGGGACTGTAATTCCCAGAGAACCCTCTGTCAGTGGCTCTCTTTTTCTCTTGGTTCAGGGTGTCAGGAAAATAGGTCGTTCTCACACATTCTAGTTATTTGCTAAATGTACTATCCTTGTCCTCAAGGTGTTTCTAATCAGCTGGGGAGAAAATAGATAGATGGATCATATGTCATTTATTCTATATTTATTTAAATGATGAATGAGTCCTAAATTGATCTTAGATTCAGAAAGGCCTTTGGCGCCAGGCGGTGGTGGCACATGCCTTTAATCCTTACACTCAGGAGGCAGAGGCAGGCAGATCTCTGTGAGTTTGAGGCCAGCCTGGTCTACAGAGTGAGTTCCAGGACAGGCTCCAAAGCTACACAGAGAAACCCTGTCTCGAAAACAAACAAACAAAAAGAAAGGCCTTTGGCACTAATTTATTCCAACACATTACTTACCAATTAGTGCTGGGAAAGGCCAATCCCACAAAGAAAAGGATGGAAGACGCAAGCGCAAACCACTGGCCTTTCACATTCTGAGATACAGGCATGGGCAGATCATTTCATCAGAGTCCTGGTATCTCTCCTGTGAAAGAGGCATTCTCAAACTACATCTCATACAGCGTGTTACTGCATGATTAACGTTTAATTTATACAGGTCAGTGCCTGGCATTCTACGAGTGGGGCTTGCAGAGGGATGAACGTTGTGACAGAATGAACAGCCTTTCCCCCGACTAGACATGCAAATTGTTCCAAAGGCTTTGCCTGTGCAGAGCTAGTACCACCTCCGTAGTCTCTGGTCAGCAGCACTAACGTCAGCTACCGAACATCTCAAACAGATACTAAAGGGATGAGGAGAAAGACTCAAGACAGAGGCAGAGCCCTCAGTAAACAAAGGACCACATCTGACAGTGGCTCCCAAGAGCCCTCTGCAACCTGTCTGGCCTCTGTCTCCACTGGCAAGCTCTCAGCACAGAATGGACTGAGAAGTAACCTGGTGACACATGACGACCTCGGCGGAAGGGCTGGGATTAGCTGTCTTGTCGTATCTTTGGGTATTTTCAACATCTGTTGTCATTTGCATACATATAATTATGTTCTGGCCCATGTAAACAGAAATTCACACTGGCAGCTATTACTGCTCACTCTGTATCATGTGATCCATGCATTATTACATCCTTCCAACTCTGTAAGCAAGACATTATATTATGTCCTTCCTTTTTATTATTTTTGTATTTATTTGAGACAGGTCTGGCTATGCATCCTAATTGGCCTGGAACTTGCAATTCTTTTGCCTCTGCTTCTTGAGAGCTAGGGTTACAGGTACGAGACCCCTTGCCTGGCTATTCAATGCCCTATATATAGAGGAGGAAACTGAGGGTCTGCAGGTCATCTACCTAATGTCACACTGCAGGGAAGGGGCAGCAATAGGACACACATGAAGGACTTTTATGCTGAAGCCTACTCTTAGCCATGGCACTGAATCTCTTATCCAATGACCTGAGCTTGAAAAGCTGGGGCTGAAATACAGAAGCTGTTAACATCCAAAGACGTGTTAGTGAGAACCCCAGGGACTGACCCAGGAGGAAGCATCTCGATGGCCAAGCGTGAACAGACAGCGTATGTTTTAGAAGAGGGAGTGGAGAGCAGAGACTCCATGGTTGGATTGTGCAGGCCTTTGTTCCCTGGTTGCGGGACGAGAATCTCACCCTGGAATGGGTCCGTAACCAAGTCCAAATTGGCTATTCCAGATAAAGTCTGGTTCTGGGATTCTTGAGTCTAGGTCACTGTTTGGTTTGTATGTTTGATAACAAAGCCTTGAGCATCAGCTGCCATGTCATACTCATGGCCAACACTTTGTCTCTAGACTCCTGACACAGGGTATTTGATAAGCCTTAAAAAAGTGATACAATGCCATTTTACATGGAACTTGCAAAAAGCCTTGCATTAAGAAAGTCAACACCAGGGCTGGAGGGATGGCTCAGAGGTTAAGAGCACTGGCTGTTCTTCTAGAGGTCCTGAGTTCAAATCCCAGCAACCACACGGTGGCTCACAACCATCTATAATGAGATCTGGTGCCCTCTTCAGGCATGCATGCATGAGACAGAGCCCTGTATACATAATAATAAATAAATAAATCTTTTTTTAAAAAAAGCCAACACCAACCAGATGGTGGTGGCACATGCCTTAATCCCAGCACTGGGGAGGCAGAGGCAGGCAGATCACTGTGAGTTCGAGGCCAGCCTGGTATACAAAGTGAGTTCTGGGACAGCCAAGCTATACAGAGAAACCCTGTCTTGAAAAATCACACACACACACACACACACACACACACACACACACACACACACACACACACACACCAAACAAACAAACAAACAAACAGCCAACACCAAATAGGAAGGATACCAGAGAGGGCACCTCCGAGCCATAGAGGCTACCATGGAACGCAGGCACAGGTGGAGGGTAGAATGGAGAAAAAAACAACCACATGTATACGTCATACAATAAACAGCAAGAACATTTTATGTGTGTCATGCAAAAGCATTTAAGTGTCCCTTAAATATGCCTATGAGAGTATTTCCTTTGACTAGGAATTCTCATGAAATGGGGATGATGTATACACCATTCAACAGTTTCTAAAGATTACAGCGCTACCCCACCGCCTCACACTAAGCCACACCACAGCCTCTCCAGCCCTTTCTTGTTCTGTTTTGCTTTGCTTTGTTTGAAACAAGGTCTTGCTATGTAGCCCAGGCTGGCCTTGAACTCATAATTGTCCCATCTCAGACTCCTGAGTGCTGGAATTACAAGTGCGAGTCACCACCCTGTGTCAAATTAGTTGTTTTGTTTGTTTGTTTGTTTGGATAAATCAAAATGCACTTCAGGATCTTGCCAAGTTTGATGTCATCATTATAACAATGCTGTTGTGAACTGTGAACCTCTCTCTCTCTCTCTCTTCCTTTTGAACTGATTCATATCAATGAGCTGTTCTCTAGGCATGGCCATTCCTGCTAAAATATAACCATTACCCCTTCCTGGGTTTATATATGTGATTTTCACAGGTGGAAGTGGTCCCAGGCCTTAGTGGGTAAGAGAAAGCCAGGTTCAGTGTCCCTGTAAGGGAGGAGGCTTCAAGGTCATTGTAGTCACTGGTGGCTGGTTCTGAAATTGAGGAACTGATTTGAGGAACTTCAGAACAAACAAGAAACCCAAACAATTTGGCTTTCTGCAGAAGAGTTCCAATGTAGGGGGATGGGGGTGTGTTGAAGGAGACACATGGTCCATTCTGTGGAGCCTGACCGTGGCCCAGTTTTAGATGCTGTCCTGCATACTCTTTGACAAACTATCCCAAGTGATCAGCTGAAGACATGAGTGGCAGGGGTGCATCTGACAAACCAGTACACTAAGGGGTCATACTTTTGCTCTCTCCTGAGGTGGGGGATGTTGGAGATAGAGGTATGTTCTCCTTTTTTTCTTTTTTTGTTTTTAGAAACAGGGTTTCACTGTGTAGCTCTGACTGTTCTGGCATTCGCTTTGTAGAGCAGGCTGGCCTTGAACTCACAGAGATCCGCCTGCCTCTGCCCCCTGAGTGCTTGGACTAAAAGGGTGCGACCCCACCACCTGATGAGTTGTATGTATCAAGAGGACCTCAGGCTGTTTCTGTGGTGAACAGAGGGAAACTGAGGAAAGTCTGTGGCTTTCTTACTCTTACTCATATCAACAGGGCCTAACCGGAGTGTAGATTTTCATCCTGCACTTCCATTTGATGACAGATACCTACTCTACCCAGTGGGTACCACTTTCCAAGTGCTGGACTAGCCAGTGGAAATATGATGGTGACCAACCCAAACAAGAGCTTTCCTTGTTCATGACCCTGAAAGACCATCCTAAAATACTGACCCTGGTTGTCAAAAGGCTTGTCATGGGCCTGGCCTTGCGCCATCTACCTGCATGTGATTTGGGCACACAGGGCACCACGCTTCTGAGCTTAAGTATGTTGGAGCACCTTTGTGCCATTCAGTGCCACCACGTTTGAACATGCATGCTGAGAACACTGCTAACATGAAGTGTTAGCAAGCTCCTAGTCCAAGCTGAGAAGCAGAAAAAGGTTCTAGGAGGAGAGAAATGCCGAGGCGTCCCTGATGAGACACCGGCAGGCTGAGAGGGGGGCTACTCCTGTGGGACAGTCAGCACTGGCTCAAGCTGTAGCATGACGCCTGGTCATCCACTTGCCCTCCATGGTGAGTTCTTTGATGGAAGTGTCCCAGTTCTACTTGTTTTTAACAACAGATGCTCCATGGTATATGATCCAGTGAAGTCACTGTAAGATGAAAACACTGTAAAGTAAAATATGTGGGCTGTGCCTAATGTCATAGCTTACTGAACATTACAGATGAACAACACAGAGCTTTGTAGTATTGGCTATGTTCCCTCATGATAGTGAGGCTGACAGGGAGCTATGGCCCATAGCCACTGCCCAGATCACCGTGGTCTCGTATCTCTTATGACCAGCTCAAGAAGAGATCAAGTTAAAAATCTGGAGGATTTTCTAGTGAATGCCTATTACTTCTGCATCATACGGTCAGGAAACCGTAAGCTGGACCACCATCAATGGAATGTGTATGTGCTCCACCTACCAGAGCTTGGCAGTTAATGAGTGAAAGAACAGTCAGGTGTAGTAAGTAGTACATGCCCGTAATCCCAGCATTTAAGAGGCAGAGGCAGGAGGATCACAGCAAGTCAAGGCCAGCCTGGTCTAAGCAGCAAATTACAGGTTAGCCGGGGCTACATCGTGAGACCTTGTCTTAAAAAACAAAAACAAGGCCTGGTGTTGGTGGCGTACACCTTTAATCCCAGCACTCGGGAGGCAGAGGCAGGAGGATCTCTGTGAGTTCGAGGCCAGCCTGGTCTCCAGAGCGAGTGCCAGGATAGGCTCCAAAGCTACACAGAGAAACCCTGTCTCGGAAAACAAAAAACAAAACAAAAAACAAAAAAATGGAAGCAAAAAGGGCCAGCATGATGGCTCAGCAGGTAAAGGCACTTGGCATACAAATCTGGTGGCCTGAGTTTGATCCTAGAATCCAGGATAACAAGGGAAAGACAGAACTAACTTCACAAGGTTGTCCTCTGAGCTCCACATGTACACTGTGGCACACATACCCCATCCCTCACACATATATATAGAGATACACATAAGTAAGATTTAAAAAAAAATGACTAAATAGATGAGGGCCATAGACTCTGAGAGCCTGCATGGTTGGTATTTGTGTGTTCACACCTATCACTGGTAAGCTCAATGGGAGGGCACCTGGTGGCTGCCGACGGGGATCATGTCAGCGACTGTGTTCTGACTGCATCCCAGTGGGAAAGTCTGCAAGCTACGTGCTGAAACCATCATCAACCTCTTCCCTAAATACTGACCTGGTGACCCATTTATTTCTGACTGACTGAGAAGATGGGCCTTCTGGCCCTCCGATGCACACAGTCTCCACCTGGACTGACCTGCACATGGGGCTGGACGGTGCACAGACACCTCTCTCTTACATTTCTGTCTATAACAATATTCCTGCCTCTCAAACCACA